CCTACTATCGCCACCACATACACACACAACTCACACACAACTCTCACACAACCCACACACAACTCATCACACTCACAATCCCCACACACAACTTCCCACTCGCAACTCCCCACACAAGCACCCCCACACACACCCACACAGCCCCTCACTGTCACACAGTCAGCTTATCTCATGTACAGTTGCTATTCACCCTCACCGTTCACCTCTAAGTGTATCGTGATGATACAACGCGTGGCCGCTCTTCACTGTGCGAGCTTCGCACCAGTCGTGAAATAGTTTCTTATCTACGCCATGTGCCAAGTTTCACACCGACCCAAGGTCAGAATGGAGCGTTCACAGAACTCGAGTCTTCGTCACGATATGTGTGTCTCTGTCATGTGTTAGTGACAGTAAGTGGTGAATTGCAGTTATGGAGCAAGTTTTATCATAAACCCATCGGCTGTAGAAAAAAAAATTTAGTTTAAGGGCACAACAATGGGTAGGGTTGGCGCATAATATAAAGCAGAAAAATACTTCTTGAAACTTTTAATGATGTTAGAAACATAAACAACAATTTATCGATACTTCTTTTAAGAAACGGAATTGTGATGAGTTTTCACAATAGCAGGTGGAAATTATTGCAGTTATTTCTATAATATCGGGTGTTATGTTCTAGTAATAATAACAATACATGTACAGTGGTCTTATATAGCCTAGGGCTGGGCTCACTGAGCTTAACATTTGCCAAAATAAGCGTGATATTTTAAAAAGTTACATAAATTATTTATTTTTAAAAAAGCTTTACAAAAATAGTCATCCTATTTTTTGTTAAATCCAAATCTCAGACGGTAGATGTTACATATGAACATTCAACCTGCACATGAGACATGTGCCGACAATGAGATGAAAGTGCTACATAAGGTGAGCTGGGAAAATAATCACAGAGGAAAAAATGTAAAGGAAAAACCATAAGTTTTGCAAGGAACAAAAAAAAAGTCACATTAAATAAAGTCACAGGAAAAACAAATATTATGAAAAAATACAAAAAAATCACATATAAACTTCTTATTAACCGTAATTTGTGCACATAAATGTTTATTAAAGACTAAATATCCTTTAAATGGACTTAAATTAAAATCACGGCTAATTAAAAAGTTTTTCTTTGACTTTTTTTTTTTTTTTTTTTTTATGCTATGACATTTTTTTTCCCTTCTTTCCTACAAACACTATACGATACGCCTACCT